AAAATAATCAATAAACATGCGAACAAGACAACGGAGTCTGACACACAACCAGGCGAAAGGATCCTAACCATTCTCCCATATGTCAAAGGAATAACAGATCGGATTTACAGATATTAAACAAACACAATATCCGAACTATCTTCAAACCACCAAAAAAGATATGACAAATCTTAAGAAATCTTAAAGATCAAAGACCTCCACTCAGTTCCGCAGGAGTATACAAAATACCTTGTTCCTACGGGAAAGTACATTGGAGAAACTGGGAAAATGGTCAACTTACGGATCAAAAAACACCAACGTGATGTCAGACTAAAAACACACCACGCAGTTGGCATTATCAGAACACAACATCGAAACAGGACATCAAATACTGTTTGACAAAACGACCACAATAGCCAACAGTACATCATACTTTCCAAGAAAGTATAGAGAAGCCATAGAGATACAAAAACACCTTGCAATTTATAAATAGAGATAATGGCTACAACATAAATAAAATATGGATATACACTTTATATGTATGTTCACTTTGAACTGGCACTTTGATAATATATCAAATACTTTTTATGGTAATATATTATCAGATCATCATTTAAATTTTTAATGCTTTACATTTTTGAGAATACGTTTTATGTATGTTCACCTTGAACTGGGACTTTGAATAATGTGTCAGTTATTTTTCATGATAATATATATTGTTACATAATTTCAATTTTTATATGTATATTGTTACATAATATATTATCAGATAAAGGTGTAAATTTTTAAAGCTTTACATTTTTGAGAATACGCTTTATGTATTCTCTTTATGTTCACCTTGAACTGGGACTTTGAATGATGTATCAGTTACTTTTCATGGTAATACATAATAATTTCAATTTTTAAAAGTTTACATTTTTGAATGTCTGCTTACATTTTTGAACATGGTCTGATCTTTTCATTGTAATGATATTTTTGGGCTATATCACATACTTTTCAGAGTATATACAGGGTGACCCATTTTAACTTAGTCAAATAACTCGAAACATCGCGATTAAATAAAAAAATGTTTAAAACAAAAATTGTTGGATATGAAGGGGCTGATTGAACTATGACCTTGACAATGACCTTGACCTTCATTTTCAAGGTTATTTGAAGGTCTACTTTC